TATTTTAACAAAGATCGGTCAGAGCCGTTTAATTCTACGACAACTCAATATGTGTTGAAAAATTGCAAAGATAGAATTTTTGCCAAAATCGAGTTATATGCTTCTTGTATCCTTCATATGAACACGCTAGCTGCCACTTTGAAGAGCGAGGACGCTAAACAACTCGTACAAAAGCTGGCGAGAGCTTCGTATCTTAAACATTGGTTTACTTATAAGGCTGTAGAGCCTTTAATAAAGCGCGTTAGAGTAGAAGAAAGAGCTAAGTTTAAGAAACAAATATTTGTAGACAAATCTATCGATCAGAGAATCGAAGAATGGCCCTATGAAATACCGGTGCCTTTTAAACTAGAAGTAGAAGAAAAAAATGAGTTTCTTTTAGACGTTGAAAATGGATGGTATTCATATAGAGGTCTTGCTAAATGTGATGTTATGCTTGCATCTCGTAACTTTTATAGTCAATGTAAAATATTACCCATGGGAAAATCTCCTTTAGATTTATTATTTGATAGATATCGCTTTATGGGATTTGAACAAACATACAATGAGTTAAAATTGAAACTTTTAACAGAAAGTTCGATTCCGGGAAGATTGAACATAATGTTGGTTCTTGTTAGTAAAAGCGGAGGTGTGTCAGATCATGTTGAAAAGCTGCTATCGTTTTTAGTTCAAAGACATCTGAACGAGCCGACCACGCTCCGAGCGGCGGTGATCAGGTCTTTCGTTAACAGACAGTGCATTTGGCGTTTACCAGAAAATTCTTGGAACCTGTTATTGGACTTTGGTCGAAATTTAGGTCTCGATGGCCTTATTGCGGAACATTTCTGCCGTGAAGGTCTCCATGCTGTTATCATACGATACCTTTTAGCATGTGCTCCAGTTCCTCCAAATGTATTAACAGGATTTCTACGCGAAGATTCATTGCTAACGGAATATAAATTAAGTAAAAGTGAAAAAAGTCTTATTGCCAAGCAATTACCACCTCTTTTTTTACCATCAAATCCCGATGCTTTCATAAGGGCTCTCAAAGAATATAATGTAAGCATAGACGACTTTCCTGAAGCGAAGCCCGTGCTCGTCAAACTGGCAAGAGAAGACTCAAATTTAGTAAGAAGTCTCTATCATAGTAAAATACTACGTCGAGAGTTGTTTTGTGAAATATTTACCACGGAACAGTCTGAAGCAGCATACATGAATGTGTTACGACATGATATATCACCACTTGAACAAGGCAAAGCGTTTGTTTCATTAGTTCAAGAAAAAAAACGCTTAAAATTTGATAATTTTTTACAATCTTTGTCCTTATACTTTACTGAGCCCGGTGGTTTGGCAGAAATGCATAAACATGCTCTAGATGAACAGTTAAAAAACGAACCCAAGTCGATAGTGGCGCGCTCTTTATGCATTTTATCATCTGATAAGTGGCTTTTGTCACGTCTTTCGGAGTTAGATAGTCAAGGTGACGATAAAACAAAAAATAAAGTAAATAAACAACTGGCAGCGGCATTCAGAGCTAACGCGCATAAAACAAAACCACCTCCAAAGATCGACGAGTTAAACTGGCGGTGGTTAGGAGCTAAAGCAGTTGCAAATAAAATATTCATATTTAGAGCCAGGGATCGTCAAAAGTATCTTAAGAAATTATTAGATTGGCGTCGCACTGCGAGGATTTCGATTCGTTTAGCGTATGGGACTGATCACGATGTTGATACTTTCTTACAAGCTTGTTCAATAAGACCTGTAGCGGCTCTTAAAGTTGCTCTATCTACATACTTAAGACAAAAGGACGTCGATCTCCGCATATGGACTGCTGTTAAGTCAATCATGGAAAATGAAGACTTATCAAAAAATACTCGTTTATTTATAAAGTTAAATAATCTAGTTTCATTACCTAAATCTATTGAGTCAGATTATCATATAGTCATGTTCAAAACTTATCTCAAACATGATATACATATGGTTCACTTGAAGTACCTGAAAAACCATCTTCCAGAAGTAGAAAAGAGTTTTATATATGGAGTTGTTGCAGATTTCATTAACAAACGTTTAAATCCCTTAGATTGCTTAGAAAATAAAGGAGATTACGAATATAATTACGTATCTATTATTGCCAAGTGCTTGCTCTTGTGCGAATCTGAAGAGCAACAAAAATATGTGTTGGATATTGTCTGTGACCCGTTCTTTGATGCTGTTCAGAGTTTGTCACCGACAAAGACAGAAAATGATCTAATATGTAAATATTTATATGAATTTATATTCTGTTTAAAATACACAAAGGCATTTTTAGGACAAGAGTATATAAACCTGTTACCTGTGTTTGAGAGGATTATGAAAAAACTGCATAAAATTTTGCCAACTCAAGAATATTTTGCCAAGTATGTGGAAATACACTTGACTATGCTCTATTATAAGACGATAAAGCAAGTTTTGCAAATACGACCGGACGTATTCGAAGATCCCAAAAAGACAAAAGAGTGCGTACAGATAGTGGGAAAATTGTTTGGAAAATACATTGGATTTGAAATCAAAGAGTTGGTGTCCAAATATTTCCGATCTATCGTGAGCTTGTATGCGGATGTTTTGCAAAAATACTTACAAGAATATTTCGTACTTTATCGTGGTAATAATAGAGGATTATTTGTAGCGTGTGTTATCAAAGGTCTGTTAGAAGTTAATTCCACTGACGCCACTATTATAGCACTAAATTTGTTCAAACAATCCTATCAGTTCATTGAAAAATCTTATCATGACGAAATATTAAAAATATTTCTGGAATGGAATAACGATGAAGTAAAATTTTTATTATGTACAGATGTCTTTCCTATGTTTTATTCAAATTATAACTAAAGCGAGATTATTAATCATAAGCGTGTTATTACCTCATTTCTTATACTCGCATTAATCTCTTAACTCTATCTATGGTGCATTGTAAAACAAACAGTTTACTTAAAATACCTATCAACTGCATTAAAAGATCCAAATAAAGCTTTGCGAGTAACAAACTTATGAAATGTTTTTTAACATAATGAAAGCCCAATAAACTTGTAACAATTTGTCTTGATTTGATTTGATGTACTAAGTTAAAAAGCATCCTCTGTTTCCTGGATATAAAATATCTTGGTGTAAAAAATTACAGCCTGTATGAATGAAAGAAAAATCCACGTAACCATGTTTCCTCATTTAGTCATAATATTGAATAAAGATTTTATCCTAAATATCTTTTAAATATTAAATAATACTCATTGTTAGTACAAAGTCAATAGTTACAAAGAAAAAAGTTTGACCGTTTAATTATTGTTTTTCAATTGTAACAGCTTTTAACTCTTTTGTTACTAACTTTTAATAGTCTAACCTACTTGATGTTTTATTATGATTAATGTTGTTATGTACCGAATTGTTGTGATTAATTTTATACAAAATATTTACCTATTAACAGAAGACTGGATGAATAAATTTTGTAACTGATCAAATATTTCTTTTATTTTGGTATTATGCTTATATTTTACTAGCATTGCCCGCGGCTCCGCCCGCGTTCAGATGACCAAAAACTAAATTCTTAGGTGTTACATATTAGTATACTCTTACATTGCAGTTTTTGTATTTTTCCTCAGAAATAAGATATTTTCCCGCGGTAAAAAGTATCCTAGGATCGCGCGCTACATCGCCCGGTTTATATAGCTTGAGCAGGCGGTCGAGCGATGCGGGGCAGAGGGGATGGACTCGCCGTAGGCATCTCAATGCTCGCCAAGCATTAAAAATGTTTCGCTACTAATTACTTCTAACAACGATATCTCAAAAACTATTCATCTGATTGATTTAGTGTAAAGAGCAATTTTAATCTGCATTAAATGACTAAGCTAACTAAAATATTCATTTGGATAAGGATTAATACCGAACTAAAGAAAATAACTTTGAAAATAACGTAATGTTTTTAATTAAAAATGTTAACATAAAAGTGGTTATTGTAAGTCAACCGTAAGAGATAGAGATATGCTATCGCGGACTTTTTTGTAGCATTTTTATAGATTTTGAATTCTCTAGTACATTACTTAACTGTATCTTTGCTAGTTTACGCGGCGTTCGCGTGGAAAGTTCCCATTTGGCGAGATTTTTTGCGACCTCTTCAACATTTGTCGCCGTATTTCAGCTAATTCTCATAAAAGCATAATAAATTATATACCTAAACCTTCCTCAAGAATTACTCTTTCTATTGTTGAAAACCGTATAAAAATCCGTTCAGTAGTTTTCGAGTTTATCGCGTACAGACAGACAGGAGGACAGAAAGACGCGGCCGGGGGACTTATTTTTATAATAAGTATAGATTATTACTAGTCTTTTGAAGAACAAGTGTCAAATAAAAAAGACGCCGATGCAAGCTTCTTGTTGCACTAAAGTGGATGTGGTTGATTATTTCGAAAGAACAAAACAATAAATCGGCCATAAATATCTCTTTATAATTATCTTTTTATGAACGTCGGATGGAAATAAAACACCAAGTACCTATTTAATATATTTTCCTGTATCATGTATGTACATGATAAAATCATAAGAAGGTCATGTCCAGTGCCGGATTTAACCTTATCGCTGCTCCTGGGCATAGTAAAAAATACCGCCCTAATATCGAAAAATAGAATGAAATGTTGAAAGTTTATATGATATCAATTTTTCGAAAAGTTTTACTACTAGTTAATCTTTTTTTTTCATATTTTGTAAAATAAGAAAACATTTTCGATAACGCAAAGAAAAATTTTTCCCACCCTCCGAATTTTGCCGCCCTGGGAACTATCCCCGTGTGCCCCTAGTATAAATCCAGCGCTGGTCATGTCTGACCATTAAAATCTTAGATAAAATTACATCTAAATAGGTACGTATCTACGTTTCAACGTAGATACTGCTCGTAGAATTGGCACAAGAAGACTCAAATTTAGTAAAAAGTCTGTACGATAGTAAAATAATACGCCGGGAGCTTTTTTTATGAAATATAACAATCTGAAGCTGCATACATGAATGTGTTACGACATGATATATCACCACTTGAACAAGGCGAAGCTTTTTTTTTATTGGTTCGAGAAAAAAAACGACTCAAACACGACAAATTTCTACAATCTTTGTCCTTATACTTTAGTGAGCCCGGTGGTTTAGCAGAAATGCATAAGTATTTTCTAGATGATCTGTTAAAAATCGAACCCAAGTCAATAGTGGCGCGCCCTTTATGCATTCTATCATCTGATATGTGGCTTTTGTCACGTCTTTCGGAGTTAGATGTTCAAGGCGATGATAAAACAAAAAATAAATTAAAAATACAAGTGGCAGCGGCATTCAGAGCTAACGCTCACAAAACAAACCCACCTATAAAGATTGACGAGTTAAACTGGCAGTGTTTAGGAGCTAAAGCTGTCGCAAATAAAGTATTCGTATATAGAGCGAGGGATCGTCAAATGTATCTTAAGAAATTATTAGATTGGCGTCGCACTGCGAGGATTTCGATTCGTTTAGCGTATGGGACTGATCACGATGTTGATACTTTCTTACAAGCTTGTTCAATAAGACCTGTAGCGGCTCTTAAAGTTGCTCTATCTACATACTTAACTGAAAAGGACGTCGACCTCCGCATATGGACTGCTGTTAAGTTAATCATGCTCAATACAGATTTTTTTAAAAAGGAATATTTATTAAAAAATATAAATAATCTAGTCTATGTGTCTCAATCTATACAGATAGATTCATACAGATACATTCATAGGCAAATTCGATTATAGTTTGGCTTTATGTCATTTGAAGATCGTGAAACTCCATATTACAAAAGTAGATAAGAATTTTATTTATGAAATTGTAACAGAGTTTACTAAACACCGTATGATTCCGTTAATCTGGGAAGAAAATGAGAGCAATAACGAATATGTTTACAATATATTATATATAATTAGCAAGTGCTTGCTCTTGTGCGAATCTGAAAATCAGCAAAAGTATGTGTTGGAAAATGTCTGTGACCCGTTCTTTGAAGCTGTAGAAAATTTATTAAAGGCAGAGATGATGAAAAGTACACATTAGAATATCTAAGGCATTTTTTATTCTCTTTGAAATATACAAATGCATTTTTGTGGTACAATTCCTCTCCGGATATAACTCTGTTTCCAGTATTTGAAAGAATTTTACAGGGACTTCATAAAATTTTACCGACTCTTGAATATTTTGCTAAATATACTGAAATTAATTTAACTATAATCTATTACAAGACAATCAGAGAAATTTCAGAAAAACGCCCGGAATTATTTGAAGATCTTATGACCATAGAATGCACGGAGATTGTTGGTACGCTGTTTGGAAAATATATTGGATTCGAAATAAAAAAATTGGTGTCGAAATATTTTCATTCTATCACTACCCTCTATAAAGATGTTTTAGAAAGATATTTGAGAACATATTTTACGGAGTTGTTTAAATATTGTTGTCTCGGATTATTTGTACGGTTTATTATAAAAGGTCTATTAGAGGTCAAATGTACTGAAGCTACTATTTTAGCTGTATATCTATTTCAAATATTTTATGAGAATATCAAAAGCGAATCTTGTGAAAATTTTATTAGGATGGAATTTGAGCGATGTGGAGCGAGCGATGAAGCCAAATTTATACTGTATTCATTCGCACACACAATTACGTCAGACGCGGAGTAGTAGCTTGTACTTTGTCTCGGCAGTGTTACGTCATCAACTTTCCAAATTTGCTCGAACTGGGACTCGAATCTAAGCATCTTCAGACTAATTAGCTACTCTTATAATAGATGATTGTTTAATTATTGAAATAAAAATGTGTTTTTTTTTATTACGTTGTGTTTTCATGGCTGTTTATTCATTATATTTTAATGCAAAAAGCGCTATCTATGGTCATCTGTTACAAACTCGTAATGAGTTTATGGTTATTGTGGTTGATTCGATAATAAGTAGTAAAGTTACAAACATTTGATACAAGTACATATTTTAAATAAAACTATCTTTTCGGATTTTGTCGCGGATTTATTTGCATTTTTGTTTCCCGACGTTTCGAATGCTTTACAGCATCCATGGTCACGGGAGAGACTGAGGTGTTACATGTCTTGAAGGTATAGTTGTTACAGACAGCCTACCCTTGCTTTGCTTTACATGCTTTACAGCAATCATGGTCACGGGAGAGACTAAGGCTTTTTCAGTTGTAAATGTATGTAGTAATAGTGTTGCTTAATAATTTGTTTTTTAAATAACAGCAAACTAAATTAAAATTATTATTCTTAATTAATTTTAACTTTTTAAATTATACATAGAACAATTATGTGGCTTAAATATTTTTTTTTTTATGGTTATAAATATAATAATGGCAACACTAAATATAAATTACTAATTAATACTTTTTCTAAAAAAATTGTAATAATTATAATAATTACAGCTAAAATTGAATAATATGCCCTTATTCAATTATAAAACCAATTAAAATTATAAAAATGTTTAAAATTAAAAAAAAAAAAATTGTAAGGTACTTTGATGCCATTTTTCAATTTTTTGAATTCATTTTGTTATTTGTAGGTAGGCTGTCGGTAACACCTTTGAGACATCTAACACCTCAGTCTCTCCCGTGACAATGATTGCTGTAAAGCATTCGAAACGTCGGAAACCAAAAATCTAAATAAATCCGTTGAAAAAATCCGAAATGATAGTTTTATTTAAAATGTCAATAATCGCGTAAATCTAAGAAAGTATTAAGGATAGTTTGTACAGTTAGTTTAGTGGTAGAAATGAAAGCATGTTATTTGTGCAACATTTTATTATAAATATAACTTAGATCGAGTTAATATCAACAATAATACATGTATGAAGCGAACGACACTAATTACACTATTTCTCCTTATTTAAGGCTTCTATGAACTCTTCTAACTTCTCTTGGACTTGTCTCACACGTTCTGAAATAAACAATTTTGTATATGAGAATTTTTTTTAATATATGTTGGGAAATTAACACACAGCACCATCTACTTCCATGATGAGCTACGAGGCTCGATATTAAGGGCACTAGACTGTTGATACACTACACATATATAACTTTTATACATACATATTCTAAATATAAACTCCCGTGACTAGAGTACACACATTCGTGCTCATCGTACAAATGAATGCCTCCAGCGGGACTCGAACCCGCGACCGCTGGCACAGCAAGTAGGGTCACTACAAACTAAGTCAAACGTGTCGTCATAGTGCAACACGTGTGTTGTATGTACATATATGGTGTGGAAGTACTCAACAGAGTGTATAGTTCCCCCCTCAGCCCCCCTTTTTGCTTGCGTAATGCTTGAGTGACCCCTATTCGATTTTGTCAATACCCAGGGCCACAATAAACTGGTAAGCAAACAAACAAACAGAGCGAACTTACTCAGTTCCTCAGCGAGTTCTACTCTTCTTCCAGACAGAAGTTTCTTCTTCAACTCTGGGTCGGCCGCCATCTGTAAAGATTGTTTTTTTATTTAACTTAAAAAAATATTTGGTATTAATTTTGATATTTTTTTAGATTTATGTATGTGAATATTAGACAATTTAGGGTGTGGGGCGCAGTACCTCGTCGAGCACCTCGCGCAGGTCGCGGTCGAGGCGCGCGGCCTCGCGGTTGGCGATCTGCTGGCGCAGCGCGTTGGCGGACGCGCGCAGCGCCGCCTGCACGCGCCAGAACATCACCACCTCGCAGCACTCCTTCTGCACATGTACACACACACATACATACTCATATTATAAATGTTACTTATTTGTTTGTTTGTCCTTCTTCAACGTCTAAACGAAGTGACGGATTGGCGTGATTTTTTGTGTGGAGATAGTTTGAGGACTGGAGAGTGTCTTAGACTACTTTTTACCGCGGGAGATTTTGTCATTCTCACGGGAAAATACGTTTTAATACAACCCATCATAACTCATAATATCTATGTACATATGTAATATATATAATTCACAAATTTCTTTTCAGATAAACGGTTCATAAACGATTCACTTCTAGAATTTCAATTTTATACATTGATTTCAAATCAAACCTGAAGGACCATTCTTAAAAGTTAAGAATTCATATGTTTTGTAATACATCCCCAAGTTTAGGTTATATAGATTGATCTCGCTTCACTCGGGTGCGTCCCTAGCTACGAATGGTTTAGGAACGCAAAAGACAAACATAAAAAAATTCCATTATTTTTTATGTATAGATATAGGTATTAACATTTAGATTACCTCTGCGCCACTTTGGCTGTACAGGTAAAAGCTCTTCTTACAGTCCCGGGCGCGGGACTGAGCACGTAGTAGGAAGTTTCTGAAATCATAATAGTAAGAACTCCTCATAATAAAAAGTATTTTATTTTTCATAAAATTACTAATGTTAAGGGCCTAGGCACACAATATTTTACAAACTCGCCAAAGCCGTGACGTCAGAAACGTACGCCACATACTCCACTGCAAATAAAAAAAAATATGCAGATTGTTTGTTCGTATCGATACAAACGCGCGTAAAAAATCGTAGTGTGCGTATACCTTAAGTGTTTGTTAGTTTGTTTTTCTTTATCGTAGCAATGGAGAAACATAACAACATCATTATGATAATTATGGGGCCAAGTATAATATCAACTTTGCTAGTAATTATATTGATATTACTTGTAAATATGTATGTCAGTATGTACGAGTATGTATATATCGACGACACGTTTGGCTCAGTTTGTGGTGACCCTACTTGCTGTGCCAGCGGTCGCGGGTTCAACTCCCGACTCCCGCTGGAGGGGTTCATTTGTGTGATGAGCACGAAAGTTTGTACTGCAGTCATCTCTGCTGTGTGTTAATGTGCCAACATATGTATGTCAGCATGTGTATGTATGTACCTGAGGTAGACGGGCCTCCACGTCTCGCGTATGTACTCGTTGTCGACCTCGACGCCGCGCCGCCGCAGGTTGTCGCGCACAGCCACCACCTGAGTTAGTTAATGAGTTATTATCCTATATATTTACATCGATATACAAAAACTCAAGACACAATCAGCGTAACAAAAGTGTCTTCAATAAGAAGTGCAGCATTTGAAATTGAATTGCGCTTCTTTCAAATCTCATGTTCAATGCTTTTCGGATGACAAAACTAAAACGAAACTTTGTTTCGTATATAAAAGTACTTTATGCGGTGTGCGTAAATTTGAACTTGTGTTTAGACAATTACAACTTTATAATTTGTAATTATCTTATATTGAGTTTATTATAAAGAAATGTAATTTATGTTAATAAAGTTTTTATTATTATTTTATTTTTTATTTTACTTTACAGCAATTATGGTGGTCATGGGAGAGACTAAGCTTTTAGACGTCTCAAAGATATATAGTTGTCGTTATCGAAAAAGCCTTACGTCCCCTTCATGCGATATTCCCTCTCTTTCTCTCTTTCCGGGTATTGAAAACTATTAAAAATCGAGACATTCGTTTCCGTCTATGCTGTCTTGGTACTCGGGACGATGAATATGAGTTAATGTATGAGCCGAGGGCGGACAGTTCTTACACCTGTCCTAGGACACTGACCGATTTATTTGTTGTAGGTGTGAATAGGATGACGGTACCGTCATTGGAGGGATATCATAGCAAATGCTCCGATGTAGGGCAAATAGATCTAAAAATGAACGCGGTCAAAAAGAAATTATAAATTTCAGTAAGAATTTAAACTTATTTGGCAGCTCAAGTTAGAACTTCAAGGCGCTGAAGATACGCAATCCTTTCGTATGAAAACACACAGTGTATTGAGAAAGAAGAAGAAAGAAACATTAATGAAAGCTTCTTTGCTTTAATTAACAACAGAATTCACTAACAAAAATTTACATTCTAATACAGGGTTAGTTTATTGTTTATAAATAGGTTTCCAAGTTAAAAAAACAGTGTGTGTGTGTCTGTGTGTGCAATTCACACACGGTTGAAGTGAAACTTCAGAAAAGTAACTCACGAGAGATGAGATGAATATAGAGTATCAGAAGTACGATTATAATAAGGATAATTTTTTTAATAATATTTTTACCAAGTTTAAAAGTTATTCAGTATTATTTTTCACTTCCTGTGTAATGTATTCTATCTCATTTTCTCGCCGCCTTAATCCTATATATTTTTGTGTTTTCTTTTTGGTGTCGCATTAGTTTCATTGACTTTCAAATCACAACGATTCTAAAGAAATTTCAGTTCAAAAAACCGATGTGGGTGTGTACCCACCTCGTCGTAAGCCAGCGCGGGGCGCGCGGCGCCCAGCAGCTCCAGCTCGCGGCGCACGGCGTCGCGCCGCTGCTGCTCCTCCGAGCCGGAGCTCCAGCGCAGCCAGCGCTCGCGGAAGCCGGGGCCTGCGGAGGGGCTCATGGTGAGGCTGTTCCGATGGTCACACACCCTGACACTAGTAATACCGCTCAGTACTCAATACCATGATGATGGTCTTCCGATGACCGATATCAATGGGACTAGTCGACTGGCAGAAGATATTAGTATACAGGTGTACGCGCAAATATAAGTGCACTCTCTATCCCCGTTACTCTCACACTCCGATGGGTAGTACTTATTATATAATTATATGTGTTGTAGGCCTCTAGGTACAAAAGACAAATGGTTATAGTTTATCTACGAACTTTATTCAAATCCATTTTCAACCGACTTCAAAAAGGAGGAGGTTCTCAATTCGACTGTATGTTTTTTTTTTATGTTTGTTACCTCAGAACTCCGTCATTTATTAACCGATTTGGACAATTTTTGTTTTGTTTGAAAGGGTATACTTCCAGATTGGTCCCATTTAAATTTCAAAAAAAAATACCACCCCTAAGGATGGAAAAACAACTAATAATGAATTTAACCTACTTCTAATTGTCATATTGACTTGAAACTTTGCAAGTATTTCTATTTTCGTTGATAGTACAGTGGTTCGGTGTTGTTGAGCTGATCTGATGGCAAGGCCAGAAGGTGGATAGGTGGAACTCTTCAACGGCTAATAGTAGATACTTTGAGTTTGGGCTTATTTTGTTTGATTTGACAAGCCTAACACGTTAGAATCCTTACTTTGCTACTACTGTCTACACTAAAAAGCGAAAAATAAAAACTTTTTAACAAAAAAATAAAAACCGACTTCAAACAAAAGCACTAAAAAGTGAAAAATAACTGATTGGTAGTTTCTATTTACTATACATACCTAATCAAATATTTTCGAAATCGATGCCAGCCCATACAAAGCAAAGCACACCGACTTCGAAAATATTTGATTAGGTATGTATAGTAAATGAAAACTACCAATCAGTTATTTTTCACTTTTTAGTGCTTTTGTTTGAAGTCGGTTTTTATTTTTTTGTTAAAAAGTTTTTATGTATGAGCACCAATATAAGTTTTGAATAAACACGGAATAAAAAGATTAAATAAGCTAAAATTTTATAAAAATCAAGTTATTTTTACTACAGTTCAAGTTAATATTAGCTACAGCTAATACAAAAAATAATTCGTACTACGTATACATAGATGGCGCTGTTCACATTAAGAGTTTATTTTCTAGATGCAACAATTATGTTCACTGAAGTACAATTATGTTTGTTATAGCATGTTTTTATCTTTCACATATTTCTTTGCCAAATATAGCCTGCAGAAGTCAGTACAATGTGTCATATATTATATACTAGCGACTAACCCACACTTCGCTCTGGCTCTTTCCTAGGTAACGGTTAGTACAAAATACAAATCCTTGATTTTCTCGGTTTTTCTGTACTATAATATGTATTATACATATAAACCTTCCTCTTGAATCACTATCTATTGCTGAAAACTGCATTAAAATCCGTCGAGTAGTTTAAAAGATCTAAGCGAACAGACAGCGGAACTTCGGCGACGACTTCATTTTATACTATGTTAAGATGTATGTCTGTGTGTGTCTACCGGTCATCTCCCTGAGGTCCCTGTCCACGTCCCGCAGCTTCTCCCCCAGCGCGGTCTCCATGAGCGCGACGGCGGCGTCCCACTCGGCGCGCGAGCGCACGCAGCGGTCCTGCAGCGCGTTCAGCTGCAGCACGCGCAGCACCTGCGCACACACACACACACACAACATCATCAAACTTTAACGTTGTATCTGTAGCAACTGCACATCATCATTATCGAACATAGTGACTAACCCTCGTTTCGCTACGAGTTCTAGTTGAGGTATATTTTACTTATGGGACATTTGGTGATGGGATAATATATAATTAAGTAAAATCCCGTAATTGAAAATCTTACGTCGACAAAAAATATTTTTTGCAACACCACTCGTTTGGAATAACCCTCAACATATCCACTCACATCTCTGGCCCTCTCCTCCCACTGGTGCCTGTTGAGGGCCTCCTCGACGGCGGCGCGCTTGAGGGGCTCGTATATGGGGTCTGCGTCGGCGGAGGCGGCGGAGGCGGCCAGCAGCTCCTCGAAGCCCTCGCGCAGCGCCTGGCGGCCCGCCGCCACCGCCTGCTGCGCCAGCTCGCTCTCCGCCCACTCGCGCAGCTTTATGTCCACCGATGTGTTGAATTTGTCTGTAAAACAGGTGTGACTTTGTGTTAATACTTTGAACCAAAAAAATATGAACCAGAATTCGAAATAAATCCGCGAAAAAATCCAAAAAAAAGTTTTATTTAAAATTTATTGTTTTATTATATTTTTAAAGTTTTTAATACCATAAATATGTTACACCGGTTTGTTACTTGAAAAGAATTTAATAGTTATTATGCGTTTTGAAAAAATCATTTTGCTTTTAATTAAAGTTACAAGATCTATGTTACTTTAACAAAATATCCTCACTTAAAAGTAGTCGATTTTTGGACTACGGCTCGACCATTACTTATAATACAATAATACATTACTAATAATTGTTAGAGACAGAAAATAGAATGGTTTCTCACTGTATATTCTAGAGATAGTGCAATGAATGTTACGAATATGTTTCATTCTCCAACCAGACTAGAATTATTTATGTGAACGTTTACCAATATAATACCACCAATAACCAATATAACATCCACTATTCATCGCAATACTAACAATGAGAGGATTTAAAATACAACGATTACGACAAATTATATGATGTTTTAGAATACATTTTTGTAAAAAAAAGTCACATGTGTTAGCACAAAGTTTTTATCAACTAAGGTTTTATCGAAAAATGAAATAAAATATATAACAATACGATTAACACTAAAAAACAAATGAGTCTGAAAAAAAATAACATAGACAAGAATATCATTTTGAAAATCTATACTAATATTATAAAGAAGTAAAGTTTGTGAGTTTGTTTACGTTGTAGGGGTAATCTCTGGATCTACTGAACCGATTTAGATGAAATTTAGTAAGAAGATAGTTTGAGATCCTGGGAAGGACATAGGATACTTTTTATCCCAGAAATAATCCCTTAAGGGGATGAAAGTGGAAAATTTGTATGGGGAAGCAAGGTAAGGACGTACCCGAGCGAAGCGAGGGTGAGAGAGTATGAAAGAAATTACAATACAATTAAGAACAGATAATATATTTTTTTTCAATTAAAAAAAACTACAACTAATGAAGATTTCTAACCCAAAAACTCAAAAACAAAACATTAACTCTTACTAAAATTTATATCATAAGGATCAATCCATGTCGGGGCGGGCTTGTTATTGCCCGCCTTTTTATACTTCACTTGATGTGGGACGGCGACATCTAGAGAGAATGTTAATTAAAAAAACTTTGACGGCATTTGTTTGTATCTCAATACAAATATTGACAATAATTAATAGAAAAAGTGAAAAATTTACATTAAAGTTAGTATAATATAATTATTAAAGAGAGTATTATTATACAAAAAAAATCTATTAAAATTTTACGAGCGAATAATATAAAAATTCGTTCAATAGGCGATCACATATGATCTTAACGGCAAAACTCAGGCAATTTAAAAAAAAATAATTATCGTGCAAATGATTACACCTGACAATCCTAAAGCTATCTTCGACTGTTTTACAAAAGTATGTATACTATCCATATATCCCACACTATTTCTCCATCTAGACCCCCTTTGTTAGACGATCATATGAACTAGATGAGTGCTGCTACTTGTGTCCCGCGCGGTTGTCGCACCTAGACCCATCTTATTATGGTTCTATGGACCAGCGGTTCCCAAATTTTTTGGCCACGGAGTTCAAATTGATCAAAAAAAAAAAAACGGAACCCCATTTTGATAATAACTAAATTGATTGTGTTGTAATTAGAATACTTTCTTGTTTGACTTGAAAGAACAAATTATTAATGGAAAATATTAATCTATAAAAATATTTATTATACCAAAAATATAACCTAACCATTTAATGTGAGGAATAATTTTTTTCACACATTTATATTTTGTACTAAGCACTAAAATTAGGCTTCATGTTTCACAAACGTTTTATTTTATTCTTAGTCTGTTTTTTTAATCTCAGAGACCAAATTGACACATGCAAATGTCAAATTTACAAATAATGCTGCCAGCTCTTTTGTGCAGTGTTGTATCTACCTACGATACCGGTTTGATGAATCGTAACTTTTTATCTTTATTAGACGATTCGCTTCAAAGTTTTATATTCCAAAGTGTATCATTAAAATCCACATTATTAAATTTAAATTACATCATTATTTGCATTATTATTATTTCAGGATAACTTATTATAAAAGAAAAAAAAACAATTTTATTATAAAAAAAAACGATATTTGATTTTACTAACGTTAATTTTCGACAGTGGCAGATTACTATTTAAGAATTACAAAAAACTAGCAACCTACGTAATGTCAGTTTTGTCTCGGAGACAAAAAAACAGGCTATAATTAATCTTGAAATATGTACATATGTGTTGTTGATTAATGACATAGTTTTACCGATTGCCGTATAGTGTTAGCTCACCGATGTCGTCGTGCGCGGCGGCGGCGGCGGCGGCGGCCGGCAGGTACACGCCGGCCCACACGCGCTCGGCGGCGGCGGCCCACAGCGCGGCGGCCAGGCGCCGCTCCCACGCCGCGGCCGGCACCGCCGACAGCTCGGCCGCCTGGTCCAGCAGCGACGCGCGCGCGCGCTCGAACAGCTCGTCGCGGTCCAGCTCGCGCTGTCTGCCACCGCCGTTACGTTAGTGTGGGTACGGCATCATATTTTGTTATTGGATCAGCCCTACGCTTATGACATTACCCTCATTACATTACGAAACCAACCATACTTTTTAGATCAAGTTTGAGTTGTGCATAACCGCTATAATATTGTAATATTAGTACTAAGCAGGACGTCAGTATATGTATGTTCATACAGAGGCAAAAAATCATACAACCTTGTTATCTTAAAAAACCATATCTACGTGGGTCGGACTCGAAACCCAAACTCAACCTGGGAAGGGTGTTTTTCCACTCAATCTGATACCAGTATAGAGATTGTGAAGTATGGTGAGGTGGTACCAAAAAGTATTTTTCACTCGGTCATATCCATAGTAATATTATAAATGCGAAAGTAATTCCGTCTGTTCGTTACCGTTTCTTGCCTAATCTGCTGAACTGATTTAGATAAAATTTGGTATGGAAATAGTTTGAGACCCTGGGAAAGACACAGGATAGTTTTATCCCGGAAATCATCACTAAAAGGGGGTGGAAGTTTGTATGGGGAATCAATTTGTAAGGGATATAAAAGTCACGATACCTGGGGAAGGTGTTCTTCCACTCGGTCTCGAGGTTGAAGCGCATGGCCTTGAAGGCGTCTGCCTGCTGCTCCACGGAGTCGCGCACCATGCGCCAGAAGCAGTCCGCCACGCCCAGCGCCAGGTTGCGCGTCGTCACCTGCGCCGCCGACACCAGCCCCGCCCTGCGCGCGCACACACATAAGTGCGAGTCAGACTCGCCCACCGACGGTGCCGTACAAATTTGTAGGAAATCTGTTTAACTTTAATTTTCAACATTTTTTGTTTGGAATTTTTCTTTTATTTGTGCTGTAGTTCTTGTCTTTTGCCAAATATCGTGATTCTAGGTCAACGGAAACTATCATACACGTTTTTCGACCCAAAACCTATAGGGTACTTCCGATTGACCTAGAATTGTCAATTTTGATTAAAAGCAAGGTCAAACTACCATAAGAACGGTAAACTCACTTGAATAACTTGGAAGAGCTGAAGAACCTCTCCTCGTACTCTCGTATGCTCTGTATGGAGTCGTCCTTGCGGCTGCGCCCCGTCACCACGGCGTAGTAGCCCAACGCCTTCATCGGGAACAGCTTGCCTTCCAGGATACGTCGGATCTAGTCACCGAGATTTATTTATTTTTATAGCAAATAAACAGTATTGTATGTATTTAGCCCTTTCTAACGTCCCATTGCTGAGGGTGGGCCTCCATTTAACGCGATGGGGATCAGGCCATAGTCCACCACGCTAGACAAATGCGAGGCGGTTATTACATTTTTCGAAAACTAGGTTCTCTTAAACATGCAGGTTTGCTCACGATGTTTTCCTTCACCGTAAGGCAAGTGATAATCATGTTGGAAATGATTCGCACATGAAAATATCGGGTTAAAAGTATTTTCGCTTCACTCGATTTTTCCAGCAAGCGCATTGAAAGGAGGCCCACACCCAGCACTGAGAAGTTTAAAAAAAAAAGCAGAATGTATACAACTTACCCTATTTGGATTAGCGAGGTTCTCTTCAGCCAGGTCGACTTTGGTGAGGACGAAAATTGTCCTCTTCCCTTGAGGGTCACAGGATGCTACCAAATCTGTCACATTGCTCCTTTCCGCGTCTACAGACCCGTCCTGATACGAAGTAATTGTACATTTATTTTATATATTATGTATATGAATATTTAATAAGTTTAATAATAAAAATAATAGTTTTTTAAATTTCAAAATAATCAACACAAATTTATCGTTTTTCAAATTGTAACATTCTATACCTATTCTAATTTGAAGATTTTTCTAGTAGCTATTGAAGAGTTCCAGTTCCTTAAAGAGTAGTCAATCTTACAAAGTAAAAGATACTCAGATGTAGAATACTGATTTAATTACCATTAGCGACTTCGTCGATACGTCCCTACTTGCCATGCCTATAACATTACTCCAGCTCAGTCTATCTGTGTGCCTAATTCCATCCAAAACCATCCAGCCGTTTTCTTTAACAAACACACACATACAAACAAACCTTCACATTTATTCAAATCTCCAAAAATCCTGAAATAACCCAACTAACATTCCCCACTAGCAGCACCGACCTGTATACAGAGTATGATGGCATTAGGGTTATCCATGTACTGCTTGGTCATGTTCTTGATGGCGTCCCTGGTGTCGGTGGCCATGTCGGCGGTCTGCGTGGCGATGACGCCGGGCAGGTCCACCAGCACCATGCGCGGCAGGCCCGGCCCGCGCACCGACATGGCGATCACCTCGCTGGACACGGTGCGGCCGCCGCGCACGCTGTTGCGCATGCGCAGCTCCACCTCCTTGCGCAAGTCCGCCAGGTCCGACTCCTTGTTCAGGTCGAACTCCCTGGACGAGTCCCGGAACTGTGCCACGTGGTAGGGGCCTTCCGATAATGTCACTTTAACCGGTGCTCTGGGGAGGAAAAAACATATTAATTTACTTTCATTTTGTAGCTATTTTAATGTGTTTAAACTTGAGGTATTTGCGCAATTTTATTCTTACTAAGAACCAGTAACGACGAAAAAATTATATCTCATTAATTAAAAATATAAAGAAGCATAGAATTGATACCCGTTTCCAAATCTAAAACTAAAAAGAAAATCACCTCAACAACAATTGTCAGCATATTAAATATATACAAACAGACACATATAGTTTCAAGAATAATTATATGCTTACCACAAACTATCACTTTTTTACTTAAAAAAAAATGAGAGCAAGTTACATAATCGATTCATTAAAAATCGATTTTTAATATGTAGAGTATCGATTATAAGAATAAAATAATCGATTAAAATAAAAATGTATTATTTTTCGATTCGATTCGATCGATTATTAGGTCCGAACATATAACCTGGTGCACATCTCGCCGGCGCCGCGCGGGAAGATGCGCGCCTGCGCGATCATCTCCAGCACGGAGGTCTTGCCGGCGGACTGGTCGCCGACCACCACGACGCGCGGCAGGCGGCCCGCCTCGCCCGCCTCCCAGCCCGCCAGCTCGTCCAGCACCGCCGAGTACATGTCGATCAGGGACCGCTGGACAAACATATTTCTACTTCATTCATTATATTCATCTATCTATATTCTATACTAATATTATAAAGAGGTAAAGTTTGTGACGTTGTAGGGGGTAATCTCTGGATCTACAGAACCGATTTAGATACAATTTGGGAAGAAGATAGTTTGAGAGCCTGGAAAGGACATAGGATACTTTTTATCTCGGAAATCATCCCTTAAGGGAGTGAAAATAGGTATGAAAGTTTGTATGGGGAAAGCTAGGGACGAACCCGAGCGAAGCGAGGGTGAGTCGCTAGCACAGAAATCTTAATAATAAGGTAATAGAAATGCCATTGCGGTCTTTTAGTACTGGGACGCGTGTCGCCGGCTTGCAGCTACCAACACATTGACAACAATAAAAACACACTATCGCCCACACATGCATTTTGCATTGTTGCAACAAAAATTAAACTTTAAGCGATGACATTACGCAATATTTTCTAAAAACGCATAATCTCAGATGGCGTGATCCCTGTGACCAATAATAAACGTGTGCGAAAAGCACAGAATGATATCGCGCGCTCACTTTTAGTGCAGTACAAAGCGCATAATGCTCATATCGATAATTTTCCGTTGAGTCTTGCAACAATAGGTAACTAATTTATTGAAAGTGTTTTGTTTCATTCCTCGACGCGCTTTTAGACGATTTATTTATTTTCATAAAGGGAATACAATAAAACGTTAAATGTAAGTAATTTTTTTTATTATTATAGTTATACAAAGTTATGCAAAAATTTGTTAAAATCCATATATATATATATATATATATATATATATATATATATATCCATACATTTTGAACAATGACTTAAAAAAAATTATAGAATTTCTATGTTGTTTATCAAACAACTCGCCCTTAGAATTATTTACTCAATCAAATCAAATCAAAATATTCTTTATTCAAATAGACTTTTACAAGTTCTTTTGAATCGTCATTTTTACATGATTAAACTTTACATTAAATGTCAGTCTGTAAGTCTGTGAGTATGTTACCACCGACTCGGAATGCTGATCTGCTGAGAAGAGCCGGCAAGATACTCAACAGTTGCTCTTTTCAAAAAATATTTGATTACAATATTTATTGCATTACAATATTTATCCATTTATCCTACGTGAGACACAGCAAGACATTAATCCCACGCATTTATATCTTCTAAATATTCAGTAATGGTGTAATAAGCCTTATTCAATAATGTATCCCATCAAAAACATACTGTAAAAATATTGCAAGTCTCGCAACGCATCTCTCTACCGCAAAAAGCTATGAGATATAATGTAAAACCAAGTCGGTTAATTTATTCATTACCTATCTATGGGAGCATCTATCCGACAACTTTGTCATAAATCGTTACCGAATTAGTTAAGTTACAACATTTTATAGTGACCGTATTAATATTAGATATATTTATTTCTTTAATTAATAGAGTGACTTGGCCATCGCACGGAAACATAATTACATAAGAGTCTACTACTTTAAATAGTCCTAATTAAAAATACCATGACCAAGGTGGACGGACGACTTGGTCAAAGTCGCTTGAGCCCACTGGATGCGGATGGCACAAGACTGGTTGTCGTTGAAATTTTTGGGGGAGGCCTATGTCCAGCTGTGGACGTGTTTGGGCTGAAATGAACGGAACATAGTACTAGCGGGTCAAATTGATGCATACACTAACAATACATAAATAATGCACTCAGAACGTTAATATTAGGTAAATTTTGTTATTTGTAGGTTCTATTATCATGTGCGATGGCCAAGTCATTCTATTAATTAAAGAAATAAATATATCTAATATTAATACGGTCACTATAAAATGTTGTAACTTAACTAATTCGGTAACGATTTATGACAAAGTTGTCGGATAGATGCTCCCATAGATAGGTAATGAATAAATTAACCGACTTGGTTTTACATTATATCTCATAGCTTTTTGCGGTAGAGAGATGCGTTGCGAGACTTGCAATATTTTTACAGTATGTTTTTGATGGGATCTCATTTCTTTTTGTAAATATTTCTTCTTTTTCCCTTTTCTTGTACTATTTCTTGTGTGTCAGCTAAGGACTTCTTAAAAGCCCACTCCCTGTCTCTGTGGGCTTTTTTCAGAGGCTTTGATATAACAAATCTTGACAAGTCTGATAAAAAATCTAAGTCTATTGTATTCGGAAATTGCGGATTCCTGGGCTTCATTACTACTATCTTATGCATTAAGTATAAATATGTATAGTTAATTTAATGAATATTTTAATTTCATTGTTGACCCTAAATACCTACCCCGATACTGATATTGAACTTACGTAAGTTTAATAAAACGTGTAGATTTATGTGTCTATCTGCGGCATCGTAGGTAAATCCCGAAGGTTGTTATACTTAATTATTATTGCTTGTTAAGTCAATTTTGATGCAGTTTAATAGAAAAGTGAGGTTGCCAACTCACTTCATTCACTGATTCCATTGGCCATTTTTAGTAATTTTCGAAGAGATTGATATTTAATGACCTCTATATTCCATGTTCTATTAGGTGTGTACAGTTACGAGCAATGAAATGTTAACAAGTTTTCTAATTCAAATCAACATCATACTTTATAAAAGAAAATATACGAGCTTTGTTTCAAAATATGTTGGGACAGTAACACACAAAACCATCTAGTTCCATGGTAAGCTACGAGGCTTGTGTTATGGATACTAGATAGTTGATACACTACACATATATAACTTTAAATACATACATATTATAAATATAAACACCCATGACTGGAGTACAAACTTTAGTCATCACACAAATATTCATTTGTGAGAGGCATTCGCCCCAGCGGGACTCGAACCCGCGACCGCCGGCACAGAAAGTAGGGCCGGGCCACTACAAACTGAGCCAAACGTGTCGTCAAAAATAAAGTAATCGTCAAGTTTTGTCGTAATTAGGTATATATTTTAATAAATTCATTATAAATAACAGGTAATCGAATATTAGTAGGTAGGTATACACTATACACGCTTCACGTTGTATTTATGTACCCATTTGTATATGCATAAAAATGTATACAGCTACTGAAAACGCTTGAAATAATATTTTCACATTTGAATAATATTTTTCTAATGTATACAATAGTTGCAATATCAACATTAATAAATAAATAGACGAATCGTGATTAGGTTAGTAATTACGAGGGAACATAGGATCGAACATACAAACAAACAGACAGGTTAAACACTAACCTAACCTCCTTTTACATTGCAAGTGACGACAATTATATGTATGAACTGCACAAGTAACTTTGTAATCCCATATATCGCATATCTTTTTGTATAGGATTACAAAGTTACTGATGCAGTTTGTTGTATATCTCGAAAACAGGATTGAAATTGCGTGATGTTTGAATTTTTCCTTGGGTTATAGAGTAAACACGAATTGTGTTCAAAATTTGAAGCTTCTATGTCTGCTAGAAGTACCTTAGAATTTTGATGATCGGTGAGTGAGTGAGTGACGATATTAACGAATTTTGATCTGCAACAGTTCATAAACTACTGGTTCAAATTGAATGTAATTTGGAAATTTACCTAGTTTTATTATGTTCTCTTAGTCACTCAAAATTCAAGCTTTTAGCTTTATCCATAACGAAGTTATGGGGGGGTGGAAAATGCTCTGAATCCCTTCGAGAAAAGGATGGTACTGCCGTGCCCTTTTTTGCTCGACTTGTTTGCTCGACTTGGCGGGGGCACTGCCGTGCCCCCCGATTTTTAATTTTAGAACTAAATTGATTCAAAGGCAAGCTCAATATGGACTGTGGAATTTTATTATATATGCGTACACCTTGCCCCATAAACGATCTATTTACTTTATGTATTTTGTCTTTTTGGCATTTAAAGCCAGATTATTAATCTTACTGCCCTGAAAAATGTAAAAATTTATTTAAAAGTTGTCGTTTTGGGATAAATTGGATAGCATTTTTGGCAAAGTGATTGAGGCGAATATCTATATATTTTTCTAAAACGCATTTCACTAATTGAATGACATGATTATCAATTGGAGACTGGTCATATTGATGAAAATCAATATCTTCAAATATTTTTATCCCAACAAAATGACGCATGGCCTTCGTTACAAATTCACTTTTAAACTTTTTATTTGCTATTAGCTTGTTGTCAAAAACAATACTTTTTAGCAGTACATACTAACAATACTAGTACTACATACATAACAATAATAAGCCTACCTCCTAATAATTTTCTGAATGAAAAAGTAGTTTAAAAGTACGAATTTACAGATAATCGTTGATAAATGACTTTTTATAAATTATTCAGACAGAAAGAAAACATACACAATGAGATGTAACAATTAAATATTTAACGAAAAATATTAAGCCAAACGTAATAAATTTTCGATAAAAAATTGTGGTGGCACGTCACTAATTCGCGGCTAACTTGTGCGGCGTGTCCTTGGAATTTACGTACGCGACAATATTGTTCTTTACGCATGAATATTATTTCATTGCTGCTTTTAGCAGTTGTAATAGTATACATGAACAAGCTTAAGTGGTAATGGTTATTGAATTGAAAAAAAAAACGTTTTCCTGCGATAATCGTAGTAGTGGTGGTGAAAACATTTGATTTGGCTATATTTCTTAAAAACGACATTATTTCAAAAATTAAGTACTTACATATGAAATGTTATCCCTTTATTTGTAAAGTTACAAATTGTGGAAGAATTTCCGCAGTTGGATATGCTGCAAAACACCATGTTTACCTCTCCGTGTCTCAAATAACACTAGTTACCGCAACAAACGCTTTACACGCGCTTGTGACTTACGAGTCACATGCGCGGCGACAAGGTCACGCGTCTTTGCCACTTCTATTAGCTTATTATTAAGATTTCTGTGGTCGCTAGTTATCAATAATTCTAAAACAACTTCTTTAAGAACACACTTTTTTAGCCTTAAAGTCTAATTATTTTTCAATTAACAGTAAAATTTGACTTTAATTGCTTTTAAGTCAATATGTCATTAGCCCATTGAATTGGCAAATAAGTAATAGAGATTGGCAAATAAGAACAGTAAGCTGTAAGACATCACAGGTTACTATTGCCATTTAAAATGTATGGGAGAACCACATTTTGGCCGCTCATAAACAATATGTCTATTAATTGATGGTCTCAACAACCCAATTATCCTACTTTTTTTCTATTTTTTAATTTTTACATGGTATCATTAGAAGAAAGAAAAATATGTCTGAATAAATTTAAATCACATATTTCAAATTTGCTTTATAATTACTTAAACTATAACATAGAGTATAAGTCTAAAGGTTATCATAGGATTATATTAGACTGTGTTGTTTTCAACAACATATAAATTGTTTTGATTTTATTGACCTGCTATTAAATATTTGTGTTAATTTTGTTTCTTTCGAATATGACAATGGAAAGTGGCAATTTAAAAAATCTTTTCGGATTTTTTCGCGGATTTATTTTGATTTTTGGTTCCCGACGTTTCGAATGCTTTACAGCAATAATGGTCACGGGAGAGACTAAGGTTTATGATGTCGCAAAGGCATTAATAATAATATTAATATCCTACCTTCATTTTCTTGGTGGAAGGTTGTCTCCCTTGCCTTAACAACATATTCTGTTGTCGCAACTCCCTATTCTCCTGTTCCAGACGCTGCAACTCACGTTGGTACCTGGCTTGTAGCGTTAGAACCTCTTCTTGTAGGGCGTGTACTCGTTTTTCTTAAAAAAAAGTTTTATGTTGATAAATAATATTAAATAGACCCCTTTTAACTGTGGATCGAAATTTAATTTATATAACGCTTATATATATATTTATAAAAAAATATTTTATATTAGAAATTTATTAGTGTAACGAAAAGTTTGGAAAGCTGTGTCCTGGGCGAGTAATATAAAAAAAACTTGAAATTTATTTTTATTTTAAACCTGAATATAGGCTTAAGAAATATAAAATAAAAGTTTTATTTATACTAGTAAATTTTGATGATAATTAAAATATTGTATAGTAACTCTAAGCCATGTATATAGCCGTAAGTCCCAAGTGTCCTGAACGCGAATCGTCTGCATGTATTCTGCGTAGGTAAGCTATAGTATATGTGTATATGCGCTTATTGAAATGGCTTAAAAATGCAGAAACATTGCTTGTATCGATAAAAATGGAGGGCGTTAAAAGGCCATCGTGTATAAACAAATCAAATCAAACCAAAATATACTTTATTCAAATAGACAAGCTATCTTGAATCGTCGTTTTACATTTTAAACTAAATGTCAGTATAGTCAGTCCGTGAAGAATCTACCAGCTTATTAAGTATCTCTAATTTTAAGAATCAAGATACAGTTGTAATGTAAGATCTCATTGCACATTATATAAATGTTTATTCAGGTATTTTAAAGTATATGTAACTCAATACTCTTTGATTAGAATATGATACACGCTAACTTTACATATAGTAAAATCGTAATACGGTAAGGTTCATAAAATTATATTATTAATTCATAGTTTTTTAGAAATTCGGACTCAAATCTATGCATTAAGCTATAAAAATACAATACGATTTATTTAACAATGACAATAAAACCAGAAATGTTCAAATATGCAAAAATACACACTCTTTTCTATTTTATTATATATACAAAATTATAGATTACAAAATAAATATAGATAAATTTATAATTATGATTACCGTATGCAGCCGTTTCTTCAGCAGCTGACCGGCCAGTGGACATCGGAGCGGGTTTACTTTGCAAATTGTTCACGATCTTTGGCGCCGGTTCTACGGAGAAGGAAAAATAATAAAAATGTTGGCAGTATTTTTGAAAAATAATTAGACAAAAGTGACTTTATAATAAATTCTAATAGCAAATTTTAATAAATAAAAAAATATAACACCTGCACTATAATTATATTATATTGTTGTACAGTCTAGTTACTTCTAGAGAGGGCTTGTATGTATTTAAATAAATATTCATCATAATATCAAAAAACAATTATCAATAATTAATTAGTTAAGAACAAAAAAAAAGTACAGAACTAAATATACACTACACAAAAAATACACAATTTACACAAACCTAGTCTACACAAAAAAACACAAAAACATTACCCACAAACCAAACTAACAACCCACCTATATTACTAGTAGTGTTCACAGCAGCCGCAGCCACAGCATCCTCATATCTCTGAGCGAGCCACTCCCTCAGCTCTGCCGCTCGGGACATCCCCGCCTCTCGCAGTCGGGGATCTGCGAGTAGCGGCAGCGTCATTGGTACACCTAAAGTGTATTTACCGTTCATACTCCATGTGGAGATTATTTCAAGTTTAAAAAACACTTATAATGTGTTATGTAATAGAGGATCTTCTAAAGAAATAAACAGCCTATGTGTCACTATTCACTTTTGAGTGTATGTTTGTTACATTATCATGTGGTAAGGGTCCAACAGATTTAAATGAAGCTCTGGAAGGTGATAGTTTGTATCTTAGTTAAACACATAAGCCAGTTTTATCAAAACAACTACCAAATGAGTAAAACCACGTTTCAATAATAGTATCTACTTTAGTTAAATGAGTATTGCAATTTATTTGAAAATACTATTTTTTTCTATGTATTGTTGTTTTAACAAAAATTATATATTTTTATACATGACAACTGATATAATATGCATACAATAGTTTAACATTAAATGAAGTGAACAAATCAAAATGAATTTAACTACTTTTAAAAATCAGATGTAAAAAGAAAGAAGAACTTTTATATACAGACAATATATTTAACTAGAAATAAACCAAGACCTTTATTGTATATATGGACATAGATCTCTACAATTCCTGTAGTTAGAAACATTTTGGACCAATTGTAAAACAATAGCTATACATAATAATCAAATATAAATTAAAATATTTATTATAGAAAGAACATTGCAGCATACAATAGTAGAAAAAAACAAAAAAAAACTAAAGTAATCTAACTAAAAAAAAACTAAATTAATAAATATATTGAAAAGACTAATTAAAAACTTACATTAATTCACACAATACACTATAGACTTGCTAAACTAAAAATTATAAATATTATGCACATTGTACTTACCTATTTGCAGTTGGTCACCAATTTTTTCTTTAGCGTTGATCAAAGTGGTAGTAAACTTATCCCACTGTTCTTTCTCTGGTAGTAAGTCATTTAGCCAACCCATATCAGGCAGACCATCTTTCCATTCTGCATATTTCTTTAATACAAATAATGTAAAAATTAGTGAAAGATAGTTGAAACATACATAAAAAGTACTTATTATACCTTTCAGTGAAAATAGGAACAGAATTTAATTTGTAGACTAAATATGTATCATTATTAACACCTCGCGGTTAAATTCTAAGAAATTTATTTTTAACCGAGTTATCTGTGGCTCCACATGCTTTCAAAGGTTAAGATTTGTTTTCTTTCTGATCATTATTACAACTACTGACTTGATGAGTATTGCACTTCAAACATTTACCTAACCTTCTTCAAATCATGGTTTCTTTAGTTTGTTATATTTATTTTTTTAGTAGGGTAGGTTTTTACTTCCATGTAAAAATATATCATGTCTAATTGTTATCCATAAGAGTAAAAGTTCTTTTGTTTGGCTAGACTTGTGCACTATAACATCTTGCATACAGTCGATTAGGTTTGGTGAAAATGGCAGCGATGATTGAAAACATTCAGGACATTATTGTTATTTCTATCAAAGAAATAAAATACCTTATTTAATGTCATGCCACCTCCAACAGCTCCACCGAGTAATAAGTACCTAATCTTTAGCACTCCTCTCACAGCTCTAGCTACTAACATTCCATACTTTCTCCTAGGTATAAGGTTAGGGTCTATTGGCTTGTGAAATAATAAACTACGACCAGTGTAAATTGAAAAAGCAACTGCTCTTTTATCTACACATGTATATGATGGTTTTCTGAGGGATGACCTGAAATAAATTGTTTTATTTTAATAAATAGCAAGATGATACAATTTTAAAAATCAAGTAACTATAAGCTCATTCTTTGAATTTTTAGATTGTTTTTAATGGTTGAGTATAAAATGAATGTATAATAAAGATTTATAGTATGCTGTATGTGTAGATTGCATTAAGTTTTGAATCATGAATATGAATTTCCTAAGTTAGGTTTAAAATATTTCTAAAAGTGTAATATTTATCTGTAAATGTCAAATGACTAAGTTTTTCAAATTTTATTGATATTACCTCATTTGATGGTTTAATATTCTCGACATTGCGTTAATCACTTCCGTAAACTATCTATATTTAGGGTTAAGTTATTGGTATATTTCTTACAACATTATAACCGATGCAAATCAATCTTTAACCCTATGAAGATCATAACCTAAGCCGGTTTAGACGAATAATTACAATAAATCACGAATTAAATATTGTAAATCAGTAAATTATTAATGTAAAATAGATATATATTACACAATCAACATCTAAATCATTGTAGATCACTTCATATTTTGAAAATTTGACAAACTACTGCAAAGTAGAGCTGTAGCAAACCGTATGTATTCGTTACTGAGTAACGGGTACGCCATCTAGTACCGAGTACCGAAACGTTACTCACGAATGCATTTCGTTACTCGCATTTTCCGTACATATTTTCGTACTAATGTTTTTATTGATTTTTTATTCAGAAAAATACAACTTTCAGTTAATACTTAATACCATTGATGAGTAAATTAGAGAGTTTATTTATTTATTTCGAGTTACATGATTTCCAGATCTTAGAAATTTTGTTTAGAAACAATTTTCAATTAGAAACAACCATTATATTTAGAACACATTTTTAGTTTTTTATCCAACAAATACTTATAATTTTTACTAAATGATTATGTCAAATAAAATCAAAATATACTTTATTCAAATAAACTTTTACAAGCTCTTTTGAATCGTCAATTTTACATTTTAAATTAAAATTAAATGTTAGTCCGTTAGGAACTACCGTCGGCTCGGAATAAAGTTTTGTGCTGAGAAGAACCGGCGAGAAACTCAACAACGGCTCTTTTAAAATAATAATTGTGTACAATATTGTAATACAATAATTATCTATTTATCCTACGTGAGACATGATCATGTGATTATGTGTAATACATACAGATTATGATTTGATAAATCGTTCGCGCAATTGATTTTAAATAAAATATGCATTATGACGTCACACTAACGTGATAGATGCCGTTACTTATTCATTTTTAAATTACCTATTTTTATATTTATTATTTAATTTCAAAAATTATTAATAAAAAAATATTGTTAGTAAAGTTTTTAAAAATTATATAGATTTATAAATAATCAAAATTTACGGGTTCTGGATATCATGTAACTATCCAATTGAAATGGTTTGTTGATCGTGCATTATTCCACAGAAAACAACGCGACGTCAACGATATACGGTATATCGTATAATTTATACCGTACGCAATACATACGCAACACGACTCGATACGATGCTCTACGAGTATGTTATCGGGTATCAAAAGTAACGAGTAACGATTCAAAAGTAACGAGTACTGATGCTATAGTAACGAATGCATACGGGTACGCTATTTGTCGTTACTTTTACACCTTGACTGCAAAGTGCAAGGGCAATAATTTTTATTTTTTGTGACGTTCCTCTTAACGCACTAAAAAGTATTCAAATATTGCATATTTTTAGAGGTTTGAAAAATATTTTCTGTGTTTCATGCATCGGACATTATATGTATTTCATATTAATATTATTTTCATATTTAATTTTTCTTTTTATAAATGACACTTTAATTAATATTAAGTAATGTTTTATAATTGGTAATAAATTTTATAATAAAAAAAGATAAGAAGTGGCAACTCTATGTGATAAAACGTCAAAAATGGTCTGATATCGCTTTTCGCTGCAGTGTTTGTTAAATTTACGTAAAAATAAATCGCTTGTTGCGAATTCGTCGTGAGTGAGAGCATATATTGTGACCTCAGAATAGTTTGGTTTTATGTGACAGCAGAATTCTGTGATGAATGTTGAAATGACCTCTATAGTTTGATGACACCTCTTCAAACTTTAGCTTTGTGAGTATTCTAAGTTATCGTGGTGGTGGCCCATGTCAAGGTTGGGCGGTGTTTATTCATCATTAATTAATGAAGCGGAGGGGTTTTCGACCAGGAAACGATGATATCACTGTCGGTTCTTTGAACTTTAATCTACAGTAAGGTAAAATTGTCTGCATATTGCCGTGTAGGGCTTCGTTAGTGTTATTTTTAGCTCGTAAACTACGTAAATGTTAAAAGTGTGTTTGCCTTAAGCGTGTTTACAAAGATACTATAGAGCATGGGGCTTGCCTCACAAACAATCAACTGTGTTATATAGTCTTGGTATTGATTGGTAGTTGGCCTTCCTAAGTTTTAAGTTACACATTCAAGTTACAAATCTTTGATAGTTCCTGTTTTAATTTAATTTCATATGGCACATTGTATAGATAATTTATAAGTAGCAATTGTTTAAAGGTTTATTTCAAATACTTAAAAATACAGTCATTTAATTATAATTTTTATTGTCTACCTATATTTTGACCTGACTTTTGTAATTGCCACTATTAAAATGGAGTAGAAAAATAAACATACTTATTTAAAAAAATATATTTGAAATTTGTAGTGAACTGCAAACTAATAAACTCTTTTTATACAAATTATGTACATACTTTAGAATGTCAGTAGAGTCCTTCATTTTCAATTACAGGAAATTGGTATAAACAATAAGTTTATTTTTACCGCAAAGGTCATAACATTGTAACCTTTATATGGAGTGGAGAGTATAGATTAATAATATCACAACAACATTGCAAGTTTTTAATTTAATTTTGCTTGAATGGTATTTGAAATAAATTTCATTAATTTCATAAAATTATACAAAAAAAATTATTTCTTAGTTATTGCAAATTATTTGAAATATAACTACTTTAATAGGTATTTATTATTTCATTGCAAAATTTGTTTTTACTTATGACTCATACCAAAGATCATCATTGACCTTAGTGTTTTTGTTTAAACTTGTTTTTGCTGTATTTATAATATCTCAATGTAGGTAAATATGTTTTTTAAGATAAGGTTTTTAATAATTTGTGTGTATTCAGCCCTTTTTAACGTTCCACTGCTGGGCACGGGCCTCCCTTCAATACGAGGGGGATCGGGCCATAGTCCACCACGCTGGCCAAGTGCGGGTTGGTGGACTTCACATGTCTTTCGAAGACTTGCTAAGTTCTCTAAGACATGCAGGTTTCCTCACGATGTTTTCCTTCACCGTTAAGACAAGTGGTAATCATGTTGGAAATGATTCCCACATGAAAATATCAGAATAAATAAAATGTACATAAGTAATTTGAAAATTAATGTATTTAGATTTTTTAATATTGATTATATAATAATGAAAGATAATGTTAAATATTCATTTTATATTGAAATCAAATTCTGTATCTATACAGATAAATAAAATTGTAGTGTCTGTTTGTAATGTCAAAATAACAGCTCTTTTCTAAATGCATATGAAATTATATTATACATATGGTACTTATAAGAAAAACAACTTTTGTAATTTTTGTCTGTCTGTCTGTTTGTTCTGGCTAATTTCTGAAATGGCTGGACAGATTTTAAAGGGACTTTCACTTGCAGATAGCTGTTGTTATAAGGAGTAACTTCGGCAACTTTTATTTTAGATAAATAATTAGGATTCCGTTCAAAAAAAATAAAACATACCTAGGGACACACCCGAGCGAAGCAAGGGTAAGTCGATAGTTTGCAATATATTAGTTAGATGCTCGTACTATATTTTTAGTTTTATTTGAAATTTTATTTGAACTTAAAGTTTTCATTGCAAACCCTAAACAGCATTTAAATAATGCAGTTTCTGCAATCATACTTACAAAATCAACTTACCACATCTAATTTGGTAATTGATACATATGCTTATCAATTGATATAGTCCTTAAGCGTTTAATGATAAAGTTCATATTTTATCAACACAGCAAAGCATGAAGTCATCAGGACTGTGGGAATGTTTGAAGTGGGTGTTGGAATGCTTAGAAGTCAGGATTTAAAAACATAGCTATGCTTTATATTATTTGATAATAGCTTGCTATACCTTGAGTAGGATAGTTTAAGTATAATACTTTGAGTCTATAAATTGGTTATACTTTGAGTAGGATATAAATACTAAGATTATAAAATAACTTTTCAATTGACTTCTTCAAAACGGTTCTCAATTCGTTGGAATCTTTTTAAGATTTAAATTTCAAATGGTATAAATCAAAAAAAATATTACAGTTGATATACCTACTTACTAAAATAATGTGTTCCATTTTAAATAAAACTATCTTTTCGAATTATTTCGCGGATTTATCTTGATTTTTGGTTCCCGACGTTTCGAATGCTTTACAGCAATCATGGTCACGAGAGAGACTAAGTTTATAGACATCTCAAACACATAGTCGTTTCAGACAGTGCCTACCCACTATTTTACAAAAATGATTTCAAGAAGATAGTTCCGAAAAGATAGTTTTACTTAACTTTAACTTTAAATGTCAAATATTCGCATAAATCTAAGAAATCATTATACTAATGTGTTCCATATGATCACACCTAATACATAATATAAATAAAAATCTCTCCCGTGACCATGATTGCTGTAAAACATTCGAAACGTCAAAAATCTAATCCGCGAAAAATCCGAAAAACAGTTTGTTAAAAATGTCAAATATTCACATATAAATCTAAGAAAGTATTATATAATTTTTTTTGAAGGCCAAAAATTACATGCTTTATATAAAACAAATGAAGAGCGAGCAAATGGTGTAAGTAATAGGATGCTAACTTAAACTCTTGATTGAAAAACCCTAAAACATGTGCTTTAGTAAATAAAATTAAAAAAAAATGTTAGTGTCAAAAGAATAACGGTAGAAGTTAAACCTAAAGATTGGTAGAAGTTGAAACTTATTTAAATTACAGCTCCTATATTAATGAACAGAAATATATAATCTATAATAGTATTAAATTAAATATGTACCTACATTACAATGTATAAGCAAGTACTGCTGTGCTGTTTTGTAAACAGGATAAACAGTGTGTAAATATAATTTTTATCTGTAATGATATTATGATTTATATGAGGAATAAATTATTAATATAATTAACACTATACTATAAAAAGAAACACTTTTTTTACATAAGATGAATAACTGCAGTCTACTTAGTCTAC